GCCTATTTTCTCTCTTTTAAGAGACAAATTCTCGCTCTGTCACCCAGGCTGGAGTGCAGTGGCGCATTCCTAGCTTAATGCTGTCTGGAACTCCTGGGCTTAAAAGATCCTCCTGCTTCAGCCTCCCGAGTAGCTGGGAGTACAGGTGCGCCACCACCCTTAGCTAATTTTTTTTCTTTTTATGGAAATGTGGTCTCCATATATGGCCCAGGGTGGTCTCCAACTCCTAACTTCTGACCTCAAGCAGTCCTCCCGCCTCAGCCTCCCAAAGTGCTGGGATTACAGGCGTGAGCCACCGTGCGGCCATGCTACAGTTCTCACTGGAACCAGCAATACCTTCAGGATGGGAATCCAGATTACACGCATGCATTTCACACTTGGCAGAGTCTCCAGACAGCTAAGCCTGAACCCATTTAAGATCTTACTCCCCAGTGCACACCCACATACGTGGGTAATACCAGCCATAGGAGGGGCCCAGCTTCATTTGTTCCTTTGTACTATTTATATTACCTGTGTCTCCCCATCCTGTTATGTAACAATTGGAGGCCGTTTTCTGTGGCCTCTCTCTCCTGAGCGGTAAACAGGCTGGCAAAACGTGGCTGCTGAATCTGGCACAGTGCTCTTCTGGTCCTTGTAACCTAACCAGGGCAATGTCATAGTCACTGCTGTCGGGTCGATACTCCCGGTGGATCACAATCTGCTGAATTCCAATTTCTTCTTCAAACTCTTCCGGCACCAGAGTATGGTAATCCCCAACCCGAACAGCATAGTTCTTAGTGCTGTTACCGTACCTAAGAGGCAGGGAGAGCTAATGAGAGACTTGTTTCACATACCGCGAAGTGGCAATTTCAGCAGGAAAGGTTAGTGGAGACATCGTAAGCCTTTGCTTCGAATCGTCAGCGCCTCCTGTAAACGTAACCTTTCCTCCCACGTCTCTGACCCACTGCTCCGGTCCTCTACTGAAACTCACCATCGTCACCTCTGTCTTCATCCGTCTCCCTGCGTAACCTAGGTTACCATTTCACTCTATTTTCTGAAAAGGAGCACACGTGGTGGATGAGTGGAAAATAAAGGCTAATCATTAACCTGTCATTTCCCCGCCAAAAGAAAAAGAATCAAGACAGGAACAACAGTCTGGGCAAAATTACTGTCCTGTGTTTGCTGTCTTCACTTTCCTGTCATTTCTAAGAGTGTTGTTTGCTCTTCATGAAGCTCCAGGAGGGGAGGAACCAGGTCTGACCTTTGTACCCCTCAAAGCACTTAGTGCCAGCTACTTTATTCCTAGCAGACAGACTCACCAACTCCCCTTCCTGTGAACCAAACGCAAATCCGAACTGTGTTTTCAGATTAATGCTTATTCGTTGTATTCTTTCACCTCTTTTAAACCTTTGCTCAGATGTCACCTCGGTGAAGCCTACTCTGACACCTCGTATTTAAAATCGCAACCCACCTCTCTCTGTCCTCCCATCCCCAGCACTCCCAGTATCCTCCATCTGCTCTACTTTTCCTTTTTTTTTTTTAGCACCACTTTCTAACAAACTGTCCAATGTACTATTTATCATGTGTGTTATTCTCTCTCTTCCCTCCGCTCGAATTCAAGGTATTCCAGGGTGGGGGTCTTTATCTGTTAGGCTCACTGATGAATCTTAAACACCCATCGTTGTGATGCCCCACTAAGCAGGAATGCCACATACATTTGATTTAGTAAATGAATGAATGTATATTTTTACCATGTATTCTTTTCTCCCTGAGAAACTATAGTATACAAATAAAATAGAAACACAGTGTTTACTAGATTGATAGTTCTCAGCCTGTTTTTCAACCAACATAGTTAGATTCTGCTACATCCACCTATGAATAAAACAGGGTTTCTCAACATCAGCACTACTGACATTTGGACCAGATAGTTCTTTGTTGTAAGGGGCTGTCCTACACATTATAGGGTGTTTAGAAGCATCCCTGGGCCCCATTCACTAGATGCTACTAGTACACACACCCTCCATCCCCAGCTGTGATGACCAAAAATGTCTCCTGACCTTGGCACATGTCCCCTGGGGGGCAAAATGTCCCCAGTTGAGAGCCACTGATCTATAATACATGACCCGACCCATCTCCTGGCTACTTCCTCTCTCACTGAAGACTAGCACCATGCTCACTGTCTTCCCTCTTCCACTACTTACAACATTCTTAACAACTTAATTTCCAGTACCTTCCCCTTTTAGTTCCCTGACCTACCCATCTGCAAGGGGTGCATTCTCCACTGTATCTCCGCCCACCACCAATGTCATTAATAGATCTGGACCTTGCATTCATCAAATACTGTGCACTTAGGAAATCTTGATTTCAAGCATCTTCTGTCTTTACAGTTTTACAGTCCTTCACCCCCACTAGACTTCAATCCTTTGACCCCACTAGGTTTTCATTTCAATCTCACTCTTTCCTTCTTACCCGGCTTGAATTCCGCCGTCCACTACACAATCACTCCTATGCAAAAACTTTCAGTCCTGCTTTTCTTTTACCTGCCAAAACTCTAATCCTGATTTCATCAACTCTCCATTGACGTTGTGCTGGCCCCTGACTGTTGAAGGGGAAAAGCAAACAGATAACAACTCTCACCTCGGTTTTTTGACCGAAGTTTGCAGGTATTCAAAAAGCTTGAAATTTTCTAGTGACTGTGTCTATTTAAAATGTAACCTCCTATTTAATCCTATAAAATTACTGGAGTTTATGAGATGTGTGAATATTCTAATAGCCCTAAACACAGTTCTGACCATCTTGTATATATAATTTTCTTAACCGTGTCAGCTCAAAAAACTAAACAATGCAGTAAAGATGATTTGGCTTATGTGGCTACCTACTATTGGTCTGTAATACAAATAATTTTTTATGATCTTAGACTCTTCATTTTCAATATTAAACCATCACATATCTTTTATATATTGTGCCTAGAGAATATGCTCATGGGTTCCACTCAAAATTTAAGTACAGTTAAGGACTGGGAAACTATGAAAAGTAATAATCATGGAGAATAAGCATTTAAATAATTCTCACTTCCACTTTCTGTGTACTAATATTACTAGTATATTATAAATATTTGGCCAGGCATGGTGGCTCACACCTGTAATCCCAGCATTTTG